CCTCAGGGAAAGTCATACTCTAAATTCATTTCTAGCTGTTGAAATATGCAGTCATATTTGTAAAAGCAGCCAACTCCATTTTCAGTCAAATTCACAAAAGGTTTTATAACGTTCTGAGGTCCCTGCCAGTACTCCTGACATCTGCAAATATACACCAATCAGTAAACCAGGGGGACTTATTTGCTGTTCCTGAGAACGCTGTGGGGTTTAAAAGAAGAGGTTATTATTCACATTTCACAGATAAATAAACAAAGAAGCTAAGTGACAGTTTCAAGTTTACCCAGTCACTGACCGTTTGGGATGATGAAACCATTTTTTGATCCAAGATTTGCAAAACCAAGAGTTGATGTATCTTGCTCAAACTGTTCCTGAAGATGGTCCTTAGCAAATTGATACAAGGAACTGGACTAAAGCCTAAAAAGACTTTTCTTAAGCCCAGGTCTGCCTAGCCTCAGGAATGCTGGACTCTCTGGAACCATTTGTTCTGTACAGTCTGGAGAATGATCTATGACAGCTATAGTTTTGGTTTTGGATGAGGTTTTTATGTGACTAACAAACAGAAGTAAAAAGAACAAAGGGCAAATAGCAGATAGAGAGAAGCAACAGATCACAAAACGATGAAATCAGGCACCCAGTATCCATCAGAAACAGCAAGAGTAGCCCAGATGCTAAAATCATCAAATCACAAGCTTATAAACAAACAGCAGAAGTTGACTGAGGAAACTCCACTGAGGCAGGTAGCTGGAGTTCTTGACTGAGAGTCCTGGGTAGAGCAGAACATCCCCCTGGGTGTGGCTTCTGCTCTGGTTAGCCTTAACTGTCAACTTTAGAGGCATCTGAGAGAAGAAGCCTCACTACACAGTTGTTTTTATCACAACATTATCCCCTTAATTATTTGGGGCCTAATTCTTTGAAACACGATGCAATGACTGCTCTTGTCTGTTTTGGAACAGGGCTGGATGTGTCCCTCCCTAGAGTTCACATTAAGACGAGGTGAGATGTATGGTGTTTAGGGCCAGGGACTTGGAGTGATCCAATGGCTCTTTGTAGGAGATGGTTATGGTGGTCAAGGGTTGGCGTCCCTTAGCATTATGTAAAGTTTTAAGGCCTGGAATCTGGAAGACATTAATAGCAAGGACCAAAGATACAAAGCAAAATCAAAACAGTAAGACCAATGTAGGGTATGGTGTCTCAGGATTCAATCTGGGAGAGACAGGCTAGTATCTTTGTTGAGTAACCACTTGTTGAGCTCCGGAAGATGCAAACTTAATGAGCTGTTTCAGGGCACAGGATGAGCCTCTATAGCCCTTAGGTCCCCTCAGTGGTAAATGCTTATTATTGAGAGTGGTTGTGGTGATTCCGATGGTATGCTTGCATGAAATTTGAAATAATTATTAACAATGACATGAATAATAATAACAGAAAACAAACATTTACCCTTTCTTTAGCACTACACCAAGAAATGAAGACGAGTTTTCTGCTGAGAGTCATGGCACACACATGTAATCCCAGCACCTGGGGGGGAAGAGAGAGGAGGATTGCTAGGTCAAGGCTAGCCTGGACTACATTTTGAGACAATATCTAAATAAAAAAGAAGAAAGAAAAAAAGATGGTCTTTTCTGACTCCAAAAGTGTACAGGCTAGCAGAAGGACAGGCTGGGGAGAGTCTTCATGGAAAATTCCAGCAAGATTTCACAGAGGAGCCAGCTTTGGACTCAGAACAGGAGGATAGGAACTTGCAGATTTTGGGCCAAGCAAAGCAATGTGTGGTGGTCTGAGCAGGGTACTGCTGTGTCTGAGGGCCTGTTCTCCTATATTGGTGGGACACTGTTATTTTCCATTTGACATTACTTGTCCATTTTGTATGTTTGGTGTTGCTGTGCCAACTCTCCTTCCTTTCAACCTTATCAGCTTGTCTAACCATCACTGGTTGACTGCCTACTCTGTCAGGCACTCTGGGGGTGGCTGGGGTTAGAGAGGTGAGGGGGTGGATGCAGTGCCTGCTCTGATAGAGCTTTCAGCCTAATGAAGGATTTGGAAGGTGAGTAGGCTGTGTTAGTCGCCTGGGGCAGTGGGTGCCGGGCCAGGGAGATGTAAACTAGTGAAAGTAGTTTACACTTATTTCCTGGGGCTGCTGTAACAAACTGCTACAAACATAGTGGCCCCAAATAGCAATTTATAATCACATGGTTCTAAAAGTAAAAAATTCAGAATCAGTCTCACTTGACCCAGCTGTAAGTTGGGATGGCTCCTTTTGGAGGTTGTGGGGGAGAGTCATTTTCTAGTGGAACTGAATTCCATGACTCACAGCTGCTTGGTTCCAAGCTTGGCATTTGCTTTTACTCTCTATCTGTATTACTGACTTGCGTCTTGTGATGACACCTACAATCTAGGATAATCTCTTTACCTCAGGATCTTTAATCACATCTTGCTATGTAAGGTGATGTTTTCATAGGTTCTGGGGATTAGGATGTAGACATCTTTGTCTATTTAGCCTATTTTCTTAGCCTATTTTTCTGCCAATCATGCCACAAGTGATATGTAATTCTGGATTGATGTGTCAGTGTTGGGCGGAAATGGAACTGGAGAAGTGACTTAGGAAGCTGCTGGGTTGGTCCAGACAAGACATGATGGTGGCCTGGATGAAGCAGTTAGTCATAGGAATGCAGAGGCAAAGGTGGGTGAGAAGTACAGGCAATGTTGAAGAAAAGCCACCCTAGACAAGGTTCACCTCAGTGACAATAAGGGCAGGTAGGAAGCTGAGTTTAATGGCTTTAGAGGACAGTCACAAGCACATAATGCCCAGATGACTGATTCTAATTTGTAGATTTTTCAGAGATTCCAGAAAATTCTATGCTTATGTTAAGTCCAAGAAAAAAAATAATACTGAAGAACTGTTGGGCAGAGTAATTTGCAGTAAAAGGTGAATGTTCAGCCTAGTTTCAAAGAGAAAGGCTGACTTGAGAGCCTTGGAGGAGAGGAAGATGATGCATCACAGAGTCTTTTAAGTCACTACTCCTCGGGTCAAGTGTTGTCAGGATCAGGTCTACTTTCATGAGGACAGACATCGTTGCTGTTCTTTGATTCACCTTGACTTCCCCAGTACAGAGATGAAGTTTAGGTCTCACTGGAATGGTATTATTTACCACATGTAGGTCCTAATACCTTATTTACACAACATCCAGGCTGTAGCACAGCAGAGGCCATAATGAGCATTAGAATAATAAAGCAAGAACAAGTCAAAGTACAATGACTGTCCATTGGTACACAAGACAGATCTCTGTAATGAATGATAATACCACAGTGAACTTTCTGCCATTACAGAAAACCTGCCAGCTTAATATATTTATTCTACGGTAATGAAATTGCCCTTACAGAGAACCAGAGCCCTTAGAGAATTCTGTGTTCTGAAAACCAGGGGAATTTTCCTTTCCAGTGGCTTCTTATTGGAAGACAGTAGAAGAAAAAATTCTGTTACATATCGAGTAGTTACATCGAAGGCTGCATTTTCTGTTTGGAAAGGCACTTGGGGTCTGTTTCACTCTTGCTATTTTTTTTTCCAGGAAAGCAGGTTAATTGACATAAACCAGAACTCTTGCTTCTTTTCCTGATTACAGCCACCTGTCTTCACACACCCCAAACCTCTTTACTGTGTCTGACTTTTGATTCTTCTTCCTTACCACAGGATCAGGCTTCTTTTTTGTTTTGTGACTAGACAGTCTTTTAAATATTTCCCTTTTCCTTTTGTGTATATGTGTGTAGTGTATGTATGCATGCCTGCGTGTGTGCTGTTGTGTGTATGTGATGTGTGGTCAGTGTTGGGTGTCTTCCTCTATCGCTCTCTACCTCATTTAAAAATTATTTATTTTTTTGCTATTGTTATCGAATTTTTATGCATTTCATATAATATAGCTTAATAATATTTAAACTCCCTTCTCTATTTGTACCTCTAAAGCCCCCCCCCCCCATTTTAATACATTCTGTTTTTTATTTTAGGGGCCCTTAACTAAAGTGTGTTTATCCCCCACGCCTTTAGACACAAGTCCGCACTCGCGAGCGT